AGAGATCCACCTGCCTCTGACTCCTGAGTGCTGGGATTAAAGGCGTGCACCACCAACGCCCGGCTCCTGGTGGAGATTTTTAGTCAGTAAAAGCAAACGAATTGTTGTGGTTCACTATTTTCCAAATTTGTGTATTTGACTTTTGCTCTTACCAGAACACAGGTTTCCATGCCCAGCAAATCCTTCCAAACACTGACACACAGCAGTCTCTCCCTCTGAAACACAGAGAGCATGCCTGCCACATGCCCCAGGGCCACAATCATCTTGATCTGCAAACGCAAAAAATCCCATACAATTATTGCCAGTCTTCAGAAAAGAAAGGGGACCTCGATGTGCTGGACAGAACATCCCAGCATGTCCTGAAGTTCAAGTCTGGGCTAGCCTCCAAACAGAAAGAACTGGTTAGGTCTGTCCACCGTATCTGTTTTACTAGGTTCACAAGATACATCTCCCTGCTTCCATGTGCCACCCAACCTTCAGTCGAATTTCCTGTGTGCTTGCTAGTTTTGCTTTGCTTCTGATTTGTTGGTTGTGGTTTTGTTGCTGTTCTGGCTAGTAGCAAGTAGCCAAGGCTGGCCCTAACATGAGACCCTCCTGCCTCATTCTCCCACATGCTGAGCTAAACCTGAATCTTAAAGAACCATTTGGTGTTCAGAGAGCTCTGTGTGGAACTTGTTTATAATTAAAGACATCTGGACATTTGAACTACTAGCAGTGCTTAAAATAGACTCCAATTTCAAGTGGATTTTACTTAAAAATTCCCAACGATTGTGACATACAAAAGGCCCATCTATTCTTCTCCCGAAACACAGACTTGTATGTAGCAAGCAGATCTGTTTATGGCAAAGAGATTGACTCACACAAGGATTTATTATCAATTTACTAATATCACGTTTCATATCTAATAGGATATATGTCTCAGTATGTGCTTATTATCAAGATTTATGCACTGACTTGTAAGCCTCCTGGCACTTCTGCAAAGTCACAAACCATACAAGTCAAATGCTGTAAAGGGATCACTTCATTTCATACTCCATTGAAATGCAAATGCCCCAGGGGACAGAGTAACTTGTCAAGCAACAGACATGAGCAAGTTTTTCTTTGTTTCTTGCCTTTCTGTTCTAACGACTTGTGCATATAATCACTCCCCAAATCCCACCCACCGCCTCCTTTTCTGAGTTGGGATATCTGACATACCAGTCTATGAACTGTCAGAGCTCTGGTCACTGGGAAGTTTGTTCACAATGTACAGGAGACATAAAACGAAGCCTACTGAGCTTGTTTGTAAATCAAAGGTTACACTTTCTAAGCTGGATTCGGGTCCCATGTGACTGCAGACACTAGGGTAATTACGTTTTTTGTGTTTCATATGCTCAGCTACTTCACCAGGATTTCTCCTGTGTGAAGACGTGCCTTTCACGATTGCTTGGTCACTCCCTGTCACTCACAACTCAAGATGGGTACATTCAAATATTTAGTTCCCAAATCACAAGGCTGCTGAGAGCAGGAGTGAACAGTATCCAAATCACGACAAACATTTGAAACCACTGTAAAATCATCCAAAATTAGAATATGGTTCAGGACTTTTGCAAACCTTGAGTCACTTTCATGATGGAAAGCAACAGACATGCAGTAGGAGGCATGGGCTACAACCAGAGTTCTTTCTGTGACAGGCTAGCTGTAGACATGGTGGCAATGTTGACCTTTCTGTAAGGGATGTTGTAGAATCCAAGGGAAAGGTGACAGTCTAAAACATTCTCTGAAAATTAAAATTTACTACACATATCTAAATAAAGATGGTAAAAAATGGGCATAGTCAGGGTTGTAGACTTGACTCCATGACTAATAGCACTTGCCGCCCTTCCAGAGGACCATGGTTTGATCTGCATACCCATAAGGCTGTGCACAGACATCTGTAACCCAGTCTCAGAGGATCTGAGGACCAGGTACCCATGCGGTGCACAGACACACATGTAGGAATACAGCCATACACATAAGTAACTAAGACATTTTAATAATTAAAAAGAAAGGCCTAGCAATAGCGTAATAATTAGGATTGAGGGTGTAGCCCAGTGGTCCCAGTATGTGTAAAATCATGGGTTTAAGCATCAGCACTTAAAATACAAAGCCCAAACACCAGAAGCAGCTCTGGGAACTAAACTGTAAAAATAAAATTCACTCAGAAATGTCTAATGTGTGTCCAGATCCTACTGAGTGATAAAAATGCAGTAGCGCAGGATGCAGATAAGGGCTCTGCTGGCTTGCATTATTGTTAAAGGCTAAGTGAATACAAAGTCAAACACAGACTACTATGTAAGTCCTCACAAGTCTGATTGCATCGTCACTCCTGGCCCCCACCAGCCATCAGTGCACTCTTTGTCATGTACCTTCATCTGGCAATCTCTCTTAAGTATGCTAGAATATGCCCTATGAGCATGTATGGATCCCTGGTGAGTCTGGAAGGGGGTCTCCAGCCCACTAACATCGATTGATAATGCTTTATTTAATTAGACAGCTTATTCATTCTCACATTAAGCTGTGACCATGCAGGTTGAGACTATTTAGCATGTCCCGGTATTGCCAGCACTTGGGTGTATGGCCAAAAAAATAGTCCAATAAACATACTTCTAGCGCAACAAATTTTTTTGGCATTTCATATTTTAACATTGGTTATTTGATCATACTTTCTTTTTTAAAACATTCAAATATTTACTTTTGTGTGTTCCTCTCTCTCTCTCTCTCTCTCTCTCTCTCTCTCTCTCTCTCTCTGTGTGTGTGTGTGTGTGTGTGTGTGTGTGTGTGTGTGTGTGCATGTAGGTGTGTGGAGGCCAGAAGTCCATGCTAGGTTCCTTCCTCAATTGTGTTCTACCTGATTTTTTGAATGTCTCTCAATATACATGGGCTTGCTAATTCAAACTGGCTGGCTAGCAGACCCCAGGGACCTTCCTGTATCCACATTCCCAGTTCTAGGATGACAAGTGCAAGCTACCATGCCCTTTTTTGTGAGTCCTAACTCCTCAGGTCCTCATGTTTGTATAGCAAGCACTTTACCAACTGAATCATCTCTCTGGTTCTATGTAACATAATTTTCAAAATCTTTCATCACCAATTAATACACCTCCGTCTCAGTTTTTACATCTATAAAAAATGGGACATACATGAATCAAAATTTTAAAACACAATTAAAAACATGGTAAATATTAAAAGTTCATCCAAATATTAATTATCATCATCACTAAAGATGATGATATATTTTTTTTTTTTTTTGGTTTTTCAAGACAGGATTTCTCTGTGTAGCTTTTGGAGCCTATTCTGTCACTGGCTCTGGAGACCAGGCTGGCCTTGAACTCAAAGAGATACGCCTGCCTCTGCCACCTGAGTGCTGGGATTAAAGGCAAGTGCTATCATTGCCTGGCAGTTTTCAAACTACAGACATTATGTTAAAATGTTACTCAAGGGGCCGAGGAGATGTCTCAGTAGCAGCCTCTCTGTGACCCTAGTACTTGAAAAATGGAGAAGGGATTTTCTGGAACAAGCTACGGGTTCAGGAGACCCTGTCTTAATATATAAAGTGGAAAGTGTAAAAGAAGACAACTGACATTAGCTTCTAGCCTCACACATACACATAAAATGTACACACACAAGCAAACATGCAAACAAACATACTACATATACAAACACATGGAGAATAAAATAGAAATTTTACCATATATATATATATAATATATATATATTTATTATATATATATATGAAATATATGAATTAAATGTTTCAGAGTCAAAATGAGCCACAGTGAGTGAAGGGAAGTGATCTGGGAAGACAGGACGAGTTTGCAGTAGCTCTTGGGCTCATCTGAAAACTACTTGCCTTATGAGTAAACACAGAACAGATTAGACTCAGGTTCCCTAAATTTGTTACATATTGAACAAACCATTTGACATTCTGCTGATAAATTTGCAACATAGACAAGGAATTCTAACATCTTCAGTTTATGGAGTTCTGGCAGTAATTAAAGCAACCAATTAATATTGCTCATCAATTGCTATCAAGTTTTCACAATGGCTAGATAGAGCAAGTACCACCAATAGGAGGTATGGGTCAGGAAACACTTAAGTCTCTTCTATCCTAATTGTCACCTCTGTTTTCAATCACATGTCAAAAGGGTTCAGCCTTGGGGCTCTCAACATGTGCAGTCCAAGTCTAAGCCAAAGGGGCTGCATGCTTTTCAGAAGAGGAGGGCCCAAGTCTGAGGTTGGGATACAGTAGACTTAGCCAATGTTGTATTAGGGAATGCAAGCACTGAACTTCTTATTGGGAGAATGGGAGCTGTTAGACCCAAAGCTATGTGGGAGAACTCACAGTTCATACCTGACACCATGACTTCAGCCACTAATGTGTGCTGGGATTCTGTACTGGTATCTTCCGGTGCTTCAGCCTTAGTTAAGTTGTCCAATGGTGTTGCTTCTTTATTTAGCTCAGTGTTATCACCTGTGGGACAAAAGGCTCTATCAGTTAGGCTTTTCCATTTCAAGGAAAGGCTGATTTAATTTACATTGATAGTGGTTCATTGGCTATGAATTCAGACTCGCTTTAATAAGACTGAGGGAAATGGGCAGGGTTTGGTGGGACCAATGGGGAGAAGCATGGGGCTCTTTTGGATAAAGGACAATGCTCACATGTCATCACATATCAAATTCCTTCTGAATACAATCAGCTCAGAACTACATGACATCATATATGAGACTCCTTTTGAATACAGTCAGCTCAGAATCACATGTCACCACATATCAGACTCTTTCTGGATACAATCAGGTCAGAACCACAGGCCACAATAACAGCATCTCTCCTCTACCTGTCTTTTTGTTTGTTTGTTTTTGGTCTTTGGTTTTTGGTTTTTCTCTGGGGTTTCTCTGTGTAACTACCTTAGCTGTCCTGTAACTTCCTTTGTTGACCAGGCTGGCTACAAACTCACAAACATCCCCCTGCCTCTGCCTCCCAAGTGCTGGATTAAAGGCATGCGCCACCACCCGGCTGCCAACCTGTCTTGTATTAGCTCCTCCCTTTGTCCTGCTTTTGTATTTCTAATAGCCGGATTTAACTGTATTTTTAAAGTTGGTGTGTATAACAAGTCCTATAGTAACACTCATGGTTCAGTGCCCCCAGAGAGGAGGAGATGGAGTCCCCAAGGCAGCACTTTGCTCAGTTGTGCCATATAGACCCCTGGGTCCCACTGCAAAGGATCTGAAGCATCAGGGCTCGGTGCACCACAGTAGAAAGTTACTATTTCTTCCATGTGCACATTGATATTGAGATGGCAAGGCAGTGGTGCGGGGTGGGGGTGGGGGGGGCGCAGGTGCTATATAGCTCAAGCAAAGGGAATGACACCAATGTTCACCAGGATCTGAGGCCTCCACTACCCACTCTATGCCCTCACAGTAAAAACCAAAGTGTAATACAGCAAGTACTGCTGATTTTTAGACCCCTTAGCCATTAACTCTGGAACTTTCCTACCCTATATAGTAAAATGAATAACACACATTATTCCTTCTGAAGTTATAACAGTTGCCTGGAGAAGCATGAAAGTCACTTTTGAGTTGTGAGTTGAAATCTTCCCTTTCTCCATTCAACATGATTAATCGAAAAGAATGATGGACAGCAAATCATGGGTAACTGGCTAGACTTTCCTCGGAAATTAATGAGTTGAGCCTGCCACTTCCAAAAGAAACAGCAGGTAGCATCTGTTTCACAGGTCAGATTCCTCATCACAGGTAAGTTTTAAGAAACTAGGAACTGGGCAGTTCTGACAGCCAAAGAACAATATTCCCCCAAAAGGTGTCAGATGGTAACTCCTTTCAATGGGCTGTTAAGTGACACTCCCCGCCCCACCCTCCGCCTTTCCAACTTCCAGCCTCTCAGAGGTCATGTGTGCTTCACAACCTTCCACCAAAACAACACAGAAGTGGACACGATACTCCAGGGCTGTCTGTTCTGCTAGACTTAAAGACAGAAATGTAAAACAATGCCTCTCTTCTCACTATATATTTTTGTGTTAGAAAATATATAGCTATTATTATAAAATATGCTATGCTGAGAAATATTAGGTTTGTTATTAATATCATTGAAATTAAGATGAAAAATTTCAGTATCCTAAGAACTAACAAACAGTTCACATATACAAAAACCCTTTGGGGATCTTAAAAAGCCTTTTAAGAGCATAAAGGAGTTCTGAATCCAAGAGGTATGAAACTGCTATCCTAAGGCAACAGATTAATAGGGGAAAATGTCTGAGAACTCAATATCCAGCTCCATTCCATGAACAGAGCAATCCATTCACTGTTACCAACCTGTCACTTAACTTATATTTATACCATGTGTACCAAATCATTATGCACTTTTTAAAAAAGGCTTAACAAAATATAAATTATCCTTGGCACATTTTTGAGAGGAAGACACCAAAAGATGACTCCAGATATGCCTAGTTTGGGCATGCACTGAGGGCAGAAAGGTTATACGTCAGGCAGGTCTCTCTCTCTCTCTCTCTCTCTCTCTCTCTCTCTCTCTCTCTTTCATCACTTGTAAAGAAGAGGATCAGAAGCTGTTTCAGTATGTACCTTCTATACTTGTTTGATACGGTAAAGTTATTTCACTCTCTCTCTCTCTCTTTCATCACTTGTAAAGAAGAGGATCAGAAGCTGTCTCATTATGTACCTTCTATACTTGTTTGATACTGTAAAGTTATTTCTATGAAGGACTCAAGTTTTCCTATTAAGACTATAGTGTGGCGAGGAGATTGCCTTTCAGAACCCCTAAAATTAAGAACACAACATTTCTAAACAAACTGTCTCTAAACATTGTTATGAGGTAGCACAATGCAGACATTTATTTCTAAGGCCCAGCACACCCCGCTACAAATAGGGGAGAGTGTGAAGCTCAAAGCCTCTAAATTAGAAGTCAATCTAATTTAGTCTATAATAAGGAACAACAACAAAAACCTCACTTGGGGAGGGGTGAAGAAACCCAGACACACCCAGCATTCCTGGAGACATGGGAGCACTTAATAATACAAAACATTACAAACATCAAAAGCAGAAGCATGGAAGCCCCACTGTATGGAGCCTGGGTGAGGTAATTCAGCTGCACAGTATGCTGTTACCAGCCAGTGTGTAATTACCCTTCTGAGCAAGGCACGTTTTCCCATCCCGGGCTTTCACAAAACCTCCACGACACAAACACTGAGCAGTTCCGAAGCTCTCTTGGCAGATATGTTCACAGCCACCATTCTTGTGTAGGCAGGGATCTGCACCTAACAGAGAGTAAAGAGAATGTGTGGATGGGTCTGGAGAAGTCAAGGGTGTTGCTGACGCAAATCAAAGGCATCTTCAGTGAGAACTCAGCCATTCTAAATGGAAGGGGTGCCTAGAACTCTCTCACAGGAGTTCCTGCAAGGAGGCCCTGATTCTAAGACATCTCAGCTTATGAGTAGTGCTGAGCACAGTCAGTAGTCCAGCTTAGTAGTTAGCCAGGCGTGATTCCCATTTCCTGATCCATGATCTAGTCAAACTCATAGAGATCTTCAGGAAGAAGAGCTGCTGGAGAGAGCTGGATGACTGACCCTTGGCTTGCTACTGGCTGCTGCTCACTGCCTGGCATGTGGGGGTGAGGGGAGCCCAAGTATGGGTAGAAGTTTCCACTGCAAAAATCTAAGTTGTCTGAATCAATAACTATTAACATATCAATTGTTTCTATTTGGTACTAAGAATTCCAACTGGGACTTGCTTTCAACTGGGTTGTTTATACTTTATGGTAATCTATATCTATTTCTAGTATCATATCCATCTATCTATTTATCTATTTTTTCTTTCCATCATCTATCTATAACTACCTATATTGATATTTATATCTATTTATATAACTATTTATTATATTTCTATATCTATTATCTATGAATCATATCTATCATCTATCCACTATGAAAAGAATCTAAGTTGCTTATCCTTATTTCTGTAAGCCAAGCATCTTTGAAATGCAGCAAGTAAGTAAAATGGAGCAAGGGGAGGAGTGTGACTGGTGGGATAAAGCCCAGCTGACTAAAATCACCATATTAGGGATGAAGCACAAATTACCAAACTACCAAGCTTGTCTGGGTTGATTCAAACAATGCCCAAATCTCAGAAAATTTTAGCATTTATGAAGACAGATTAAAAAAAATCACAAAATCCCCTCCACCCCCACTGCCTGCTACCATTGGTTATCACCGCCACAGTCTCCGGTGCAGGAGGGCCTGTGGGACTTTTCCAGTGTACCTGGTTTTGCCAATGGATGGACCACAACCAGTGACGAGGGCTTCAGCATGCTGCCTTGGAGACGTACCCTATTTTGGCCAGTCCTCTTGTTCACCCTTATTACCGATGGGATAGCCCAATCCGAGAACCACACATGATCCTCAAACACGGCTACAGCAAATGGGTGACCTGGAAGCAATTAAAAGCCCACTCAGTACAGATAGGTTCCCTTCACAAGGGGCATTTATAAGGGGACAAAGCTCAGAACCACTACACTACATCATGGTGGCTGCTGACCTACAAGGTCAGTACCAATAACAGTACCAATGAGGAAGCTAATGAAGGGATGGTCTGTGCTCATCTGCCAGAGACTGAACTTGAGTGTGTTTCCTGCTGTTCCTTGGTCTGGGTTCCCCTGTCACGTGAATGGCTGTCGTGAACAGTAGAATAATTTAGGTGACTGAATAACTGTTATTCGAAATTGCCATCTCCATCACCGTATTCCCGAATTCATCTCCATCACTGGATTCCCAAGTTCCTGACTCCTGGCTGCTCTCTATTCTTTTGTTTGTTTG